TTTACCATGGCATTTAAAAGCCACCAAGTGCCTAAAGGGACGAAATCTAATGAAAGATGTGCCAGACCCTGACTCTGAAAAACCACAAAACACAATGAAGAGGAGCCTTAATTAGATCATGATCATGGTTTGAAAGACACAATATAAAAAAGGTGTCAATTCTCCCCAAAGTGATCCGCCCGTTCAAGGTGATCCCCGGCAAAATCCCAGCCGGTTTTCCCTCCTTCCTTCCTCCCTGTGAAGTCGACAGGAGGATCCCGAAATGTGTGTGCAGGTGCAGGGGCCAAGAACAGCCTGCTGGTGCCCTGCTGGCTCCAGGCGCGTGGGCAAGGTTGGCCGGCTGTCTTGGACAAACACATGCTGGGCAGCCACTGGCCCAAGGATGAGGGTCATGTGGAGCTGGCCCAAACCCAACGGGCAGCCAGGAAGCAAGTACAGCTCATCTCTGCTGAACCCGCATGGCCACAGCGGACCAGCAGCCTCGTGACCGGGAAGTGTTTGTTGAGGCACCGAGGGTTGGAGTCCTTTGCCATGTGCGATGATCGCACGGAGTGTGGGCTCTGCACACAGAGTGGTACCGAAAACGCCAGGAAACCCCAAGCAGGTGGCGTGGGCCGTGCAACAGCCCACGGGTGGTGAGGAACTGGCGCGCCCTGGCCTGGAGACCCGTGTGAGGGAGCGACGGAGCCCAAGGCTGAGCTGTGCTGACTCAGGAGGCAGGAAGTGCACCTCATCGACTCGGGGGGCCGGCAGGGAGGCTATGGGACAGAATGCTGGCTTTCAGTGACCATCTGTGTAGGGACAGGGACAGAGGGAAGCCTGTCACATATTCTCTGCTGGGTTTTTTTTATAACCCTTTAAAAAAGTAAGGGCCATTCTCAGGTCTCAGGCCACAGAGACGCAGGCTTCAGGCTGTGGTTTGCTGACCCCTGGTCCAGTCTGCGGTGGCGTGCCTTTTGTCACCTTGGCAACCGGCAATGGGCCGATGGTTCGGGTGTTCGGTGGCATCCCGACTTCCTGCCATCCATGTGGCACTCTCCAGTGCTGGGACCGCATTCTGCTCCCCTCAACTCCTTCGGGGGAATGTGGCCATCTCCTCTTGGCCAGGCACGGCACTTCTATCCCCAGGCAGCCCCCGTCCGTGCACCCTTCTGCTGGCAGCTGGGCCTAACGGGCCCACGGGGTTCAAACTCCACTCCAGCTCTGCCACCTGGATTTTCCTGTGGGGGTGGCATGGTCCTTGAGCACCAAAACAGGGCTACTGTCCATCTCCGGTGGCTGTGGCCCTTCAGATGAATGTTCCAGATGGGAGTAAGGGATGGTGGAAGAAAAGAACCAATTTTGTGGCTATGGATGGAGGACAAGAGCGTGCCTCTGGGGGGAGCTCTTAGAGCCTGGAGGTGCGGGACAGGGGCTGTTTGGTGGCCTCTGTCCCGCAGACTGGCATGCAGCCCAGAGGCATGATCAAGCAGCAGCTGTGACTGGGGCTGACCGCCCCTGGGTCTCCCACCTCCATCCATGGGCTGCAGACCCAGCACGACCACCAGGGTGCAGATCTCAGCCGCACTGTTCATGTGGCCCAACCAAAGCAAGTTTGTAGGGGAGGGGTGGGGGTTGAGTGGACATAGAAACTTCTCCAGCGGGGGGTGGGTGTGGGGGTTGCTTTTCGGCCCAACTATTATGCCCTATATTGGCAAAGACATCGAAGATCAGAGGTCAATCCAAACTCAGGTGTGTGGGTCTTCGTGAGATTCGCCGTAGACTGTATCCTGGTTGTCTGAAATCGGAGTTGTTGGTGCACTCTGGGACTTGCATGCAGCACGTCAGGTCCTGCGCATGGAGGATATGGCTGAGATCAGCGCTGCAGGCTGGCCTCTTCCTGCTACTTGGAGCCTGAGGAAGGTAGCCTTAAACAAACGTGTCTCAGACAAATTGAATGGATCTGGTGTCAACCTCTGCTGGTCAGATTAATCAGAATGGCCAGTAGAGTGGATACTCATGTCAAAACTCACCAGAGGCTGAGCAGGACTGACAGGTGGATTATTGGGAGAGACTGTCCTCCATGGGTCTTTTGAGCACCCTACACATTTTGTTGGGTGTGCCAAGAATAAAAGGCCCTGACTACCCTTTACCTGGGCCATTTCTCAGGGTCATGTATGCAGTGAGCAGTCCTGAGGGATGAGATAGTTTCTCCCTTCAGGCCAAAAGCAGGGTTGCTTACTGCTTGCTATTAGAGTGGCAGATTCCCCAAACCAGTGTTCCTCAGCTGTGACAAAAACTCACTGTGCATAGCATACACCTGGGCCCTATCACATACTCTTCTTGGGACTATCACAGATATGCTGATGCTCACGCTGTGCCACGAGTAGGAACATCCTTTGTCTCTGATCTAGGAGTCTCATGTCTTCTGCCAGCATCCATGAACCGGCCACAGGCCAAGTTAATCCCAGACTGGACTTGTCTTTTTGACTCATGGTTATCCAGATGAAGAGGAGTGATGTAGAATCCAGAGCTGATGTAGAGTCATGAGATCTGGGACTTGAAGCCTGATGCCGTAATTGGGAGACTTTTGGAGTAGGGGGCAGTGAGTATATTTTTATGATAGAAGGTAAGTGAATATTGGTGACCGAGAGATTGGACTGTTGTACATTTGGTTATTGTTCAGGACATATTCACTCCTCTCCTCCTCCTCCTTGTTGCAAAGTATCCTTCCTCGCCCACTGACTTGAGTTTGGCCAGTGCAATGTGTGCAGATGTGATAGGAGTAGAAGCTTCCATATGCTTGCATGGTTTGGCTTGCTCTCTCATGTTTATACCATCTGCCATGTGAAGAAGACACCCTGGGAAGCCATGGGTCCCAGAAGGAGGAGACACATGGAGCAGATCTGAACCCAACCTGCAGCCTGGAGCCCAGTTACATTGCTGCAGCTGATCTGAAGATACGTGAAAAATAAATGCTTGCTGAATAAATACCACTGGGGTAGGGGAGAAAGGTGCCTTTGTTATGTAGCTTTATTCCTGCAGAAACCTGGCTAAAAAAGATAGGCAGATAGGGCGCCTGGGTGGCTCAGTTGGTTAAGCGACTGCCTTCAGCTCAGGTCGAGTCCCGCATCGGGCTCCCTGCTCGGCGAGGAGCCTGCTTCTCCCTCTGACCCTCCCCCCTCTCATGTGCTCTCTCATTCTCTCTCTCTCAAATAAATAAAAAAAAAAAAAGAAAAAAAGATAGGCAGATAGACAATTGGAACAGAGTAGAGTCCAAAACACAGAACAACATACACACAATCACCTGTTTTATGAGGAAGGTGCAGTACAGTGAGGAGTAGTGTCTTTAATTTTCCATATTGCGTTGGTTGAATATCCATACTGAAAAAATAAGGATTATTGACCCCTACACATCACCGCACACACTAAAACAATTCCAGATGGAATACAGATCTAAATGCGAAACGTGTAACAATACAATTTCCAGAAGAAAACAGAAGTGACTATTTTTTTTTAAGATTTTATTTATTTATTTGAGAGAGAGAGAGCACACACGAGTGGGGGTGGGGTGGGGGTGGGGAATGGCAGAGGGAGAGGGAGAAGCAGGTTCCCCACTGAGCAGGGAGCCTGATGTGGGGCTCGATCCCAGGACCCTGGGATCATGACCTGAGCCGAAGGCAGACGCTTAACCATCTGAGCCACACCGGCGCCCCCAGAAGTGACTATTTTTATGACTTTGGGGTAGGCAAGGATTTCTCAAAAAGAAAACAGAAGGTGCTAATCATAAAGGAAAAATTAATACTGGAATATACTGAAATTAATAATTTATATACATCAAAAATGTTATGAAGAGAATGAAAAGCAAATCATAGAATGAGATAAGATATATTATATTGTGTATATATATTTAAGATTTTATTTTCTTTAAGTAATCTCTATCCCCCAACATGGGGCTTGAACTTCAACCCTGAGATCAAGAGTCACACGCTTCACAGCCTGAGCCAGCCAGGTGCCCCAAGAGAAGATATTTTTAATAGATGTACTCGCTAAGGGACTTGAATCCAGAATATCTAGAGAACCCCTATAAGCCGGGCGCCTGGGTGGCTCAGATGGTTGAGCGTCTGCCTTCGGCTCAGGTCATGATCTCAGGGTCCTGGGATCGAGTCCCGCATCGGGCTTCCTGCTCCTTGGGAGCCTGCTTCTCCCTCTTCCTCTCTCTCTCTCTCTCTCTCTCATGAATAAATAAATAAAATCTTTAAAAAAAAAAAAAAAGAACCCTTATAAGCCAATAGGAATAGGCCAACAAAAAAATTTATCCAAATGCAAAAATTGGAACTGTATAAGAGTATGTTCAAATGGAATATAAATAAAGGAGCTGAACTTGATTAGTCATCAGGGAACTGTAAATTGAAGCTATAATGTGAGGCCACTCCTCCTCTACCAGAATGGCCACAATAAGAACAAAGGGGATAGCTAGTGTTGGCAAGAGTATGGAGCAATTGGAACACACTCACATCGTGGTGGGATGTAACCTGGCACATTCACTTGGGGAAATTCCTTAGGAGGGCCTGCCAAAGCTGAGTGCATGACTCAGCACAGAACAGTGTACGTAGTGTTCTGTTTTCTTTTTTGAAGACTTATTTTAGAGAGAGAGCGCAAAAGCGGGGTGTGGGGAGGAGTACAGGGAGAGGGAGACAAGCAGACTCCCCGCTGAGCAGGGAGCCCAATGCGGGGCTTGATCCCACGACCCCGAGATCATGACCTGAGCTGAAATCAAGAGCCAGACGCTCAACCAACTGAGCCACTCAGGCGCCCCCAGTCTATGTATTTCACCAAATTCAAGAGCATTCATAGCAGCACTATTTGTAATAATCTGACCTAGAAACAATATAAATGTCTATAAATAGTAGTATGAATAAATTATGGTTGAGAATGAATTTCAACTACATGTAAGAAACAAAATCTAGCCATATGTCAAACCTAACATCAAACCAACTTAAAAAATCAATTGATATTATTCATCACTTTAATAGTACAAAGGAGAAAAAGCTTATGATAACCTCTAGATGCAAAAAAAAAGTTTTTTGAGAAAATTCACTACATACAATACAAATTCTTGGTAATAATTAGAAAGAAACTTCTTTAACATGCTAGAGTGTCTATACATTTATATGTATATTTTTATCATATCTATAATGTTATAAAGACCTAGGAAAAATGTCATTATAAATGAGGAAATGTTAAAAATAGTCCCTTTAAAATCAGGAACTCAACAATAATACCCAACACTTTGTAGGAGGTTCTAGCCAGTACAATATGACAAGACAAAGAAATTACAGACAACGAGATTGGAACAGAAGACATAAAGCTATTTGCACATGATATGGAATTACTCACATAGAAAATTCAGAAGAATATACATACAAATTTTTAGAAATAATGAGTTTAGAAGTGTGGCAGTATAGAAAATTTAAATATAAACGTAAGCTGCATTCTGTATACCAGCAGCAGCAATGATACGGAGAGATGACACCATGTACGGTATGATCAGGATATCAAAGAACGAAGAATAAGTCTAATAAAAGATGTATATAACCTCTACTGGGAAAGTATAAAATTTAAAGAAGACATAAAGTAAATGGAGAAGTATATCATGTTCATGGGTAGGAAGATATTATTATTTCATTAATTTGTCAATTTCCCCCAAATTGATCTAGGGATTCAATGCAAATCCAACCAAAATCTCAATAGGATTAGCTGTGGAACTTGATGAAAGCAATTGCGACATTTATATAGAAGGGAATGAGTCCAAGAAGGACCAGAACCCTTATCTAGAGAGAGGCAACTTGCCCCCCAGATGTGAAGACAGTGTGGAACTGGAACAGGGGTGCAAAATCACCTGTGGAATAGAATAGAGACTCCAGAGACCGACCGATACAGGTACAGAATGAGATATCAGTTCACAAAGCAGGAAAGAAAGGGATTTTTCAACAAATAAATGAAAAAGGTTGTTATCCCTATGGACAAAGATAAAAGTTGATTCTTACCATACCATATTCAAAAATCAATTCCAGATAGGTTAGGACTTATACGTCAAAGACAAAATTTGAAACTCTTAGTAATAAATGTAGGTAAATAATATTTTAAACCTCAGGGTAAGGAAGAATTTCTTTTTTTTTTTAAGATTTTATTTACTTATTTGACAGAGAGAGTGTGAACACAAGCAGGGGGAGTGGCAGGCAGAGGGAGAAGCAGGCTCCCCGCTGCACAGGGAGCCCGACATGGGACTCGATCTCAGGACCCTGGGATCATGACCTGAGCCGAAGGCAGACGCTTAACCGACTGAGCCACCCAGGTGTCCCAGGAAAAATTTCTTAAGACAAAATAGCACTGACTAAAAAAAATACTGATAACTTTGGCCACATTAAAACTCATAGTTTTCATCAAAAGATACTTTTTAAAAACTGAAAGTACAGTTTCAAACTGGGAGAAGCTGTTCACAATAGATATTATGAGCATAAACAACCCCATAGAAAAACAGGCAAAAGATATGAACAGATATTTCCCAGAAGAGGAATTTACATAATTAACACATACTGAGATATTTAACACAATTAATCACTGAAATGGAGTGATTAATCAAGATCAGAACAAGACTTTTCTTATGTCCATTTGATGGGTGAAAATGAGAAAATCTGATGACTCAAAATGTTGGTAATTCCACGGATTCACACGATCTCTCATACATTCCTGGTGAGAGCAGAGATCATTTGAAAGCACTTTGGAAAACAGTTTGTTGACACCTCCTAAAATTGAGCATTCATATATCCCATGAGCTAGCAATTCCATTCTGAAGCATCTACTCACAAGAAACCTCACTCATGTACAAGAGACATGTACAAGAATGTTCACAGCAAACCCTGGAAACAACCTAAATACACAAGCACAGGAAAGTGGAAGAGTCATTGTAAAATAGTCTCACAAAGAAATGAGCTGTGGGGTTCCAGGTGGCTCAGTCAGTGAAGAGTCTGCCTTCGGCTCAGGTCATGATCCCAGGGTCCTGGGATCGAGTCCCCGTGTCAGGCTCCCTGCTCAGCGGGGAATCTGCTTCTCCCTCTCCCTCTGCCCCTCCCCCTGCTTGTGCTCAATCTCTCTCCCTCTCTGATGAATGAATGAATGAATGAATGAATGAATAAATAAATAAATAATCTTTAAAAGGTAAAAAAAAGAAATAAGCTGCAGTAACATACAGCAGCATAGATGAATTTTAGCAGTTTGATATTTGGTGAAAATATAAGCACGATGCCCTTCTTAAAAAGTAAAAACAGCTTAAAATTAAAGATCATTTAAAGAATACATATAGATGTAACAAAACTAAAAAGGAAAACAAGGATATGACAAATGTGGTTTTAAGGATAATGGTTACTTCAGGGGGAGATGCAGGGAGATAGCGGTGCTAGAGATGGGTGGATGTAGATCACTTTTGGTTCTAATTATGTTTTTTTTAAAGACTTTATTTGAGAGAGAGAGAGAGAAGGCATGTGCAAGGGGAGGGGCAGAGGGAGAAGCAGACTCCCCACTGAACAGGGTGCAGGATGTGGGGCTTGATCCCAGGACCCTGGGATCACGACCTGAGCTGAAGGCAGATGCTCAACCAATTGAGCCACCCAGGTGCCCCCTAATTATGTTTTTAAAACTATCTAAATAATAGCGGACCTTGTAAGGACAAACAATGAAACTATGCTACATGAACCAAGGATTATGACTAACCAGAGTATGTGCACCTAAGATCCACTGAAATGAGAAAAATGAATGAATTAAGTAAGGCTCTATACAGCCCAATAAAGTAAGAAAAAGATACAAAACGTACAATGATAGCAAGGAAAAAGAAAACTCTTCAGATGATATAATTGTGTATGTGAAAAATCCAAAATAATCTTCAAATGTATTAATAGAATTGATAGAAATGTTAGCCAGATGGCTGGATTAAAAAGAAATCGATCCATAAAAATCAATTCCATTTCTATCAACCAGCCACAATTTGTAGAAGAAACACAAATTTTGATATTACTTACCATAGAATAAAAAATAAAACACATATAAGACTAAATCTAACTTTAAAAAAAGTGTAAGACCATTACAAAGAAAAGTCTAGGAGTTTACTGAAAGATATTAAAGGATAAGTAAATGGAGAGCTATACCATATTCATAGATTATAAGACTCAATAATGTAAAGAAGTCAGTTCTCCCCAAACTGATATGTGCATTTAATCTCAATAACAATTTTTTAATTTTAATTTGTTTGATGGGTCTTGACAACCTAGGTCTGCAACTTGTATGGAAGCATAAGGGGTCAAGAGCAGCCAAGTCATTTCCAAGGAAGAAAAACAAGATTGTGGGACTTGCCTGATCAGCATAAAGATGTCCTACAAAGCTACAGTGACGAAGACATCGTGGCATTGGCCCAGGGCAGATGAACAGACCAACGAAGTGGACCAGGAAGTCCAGAGACACCGTATATGCCATGGGTGGGGGAGGGGCTTCCCACAGTTGGGTACCGCTGTAACACTGTGATAGGACCTCTGTCACACCACATGCAAATTAATTCCAGGAGCATTAAAGACTGAAATGTAGGAGCAACGGCAGTGCTTATAGAAGAAGCCACTGGAGATTATTTTCATGACCTCAGGGTAAGGATAGAAGCCACAAAAATCTCCAACCGTAGAGAAAAAGGTTGACTAGTTTAAGTTTATTAAAATTAAGGGGGCTTGACATCAAAAGATACCATAAAGGACCAAAAAGACACATCACAAAGTGGAGGATGGTATTTGCAAAAGAGTCAACTGAAAAAGGAGAATCCAGAACAGACGTCGCTCCTACCAATCCAAGAGAAACAGACCCGTGAGTCTAGGGACAATTGGACAAAGAGCTTGAGTGGGTACTTTTTAGGAGAGGAAAAGTAAATGGCCAACACATGTCTGAAAACAGGCCATTTTATTGGAAAGTGGAAAAAGGCAAGTGAGCACCGTGGCACAGTCTCCAAAGGCAAACGTTAAGATGTCTCTCGATGCCCGGTGTTGGCAGCAGTGGGAGCCACCAGCCTCGGCGTGGATGCAGTCCGAGGGCAGCCCCGTTAGCCGGGCTTCTACGGCTCAGTGTACCAGGTTCAAGAGCCCCACCCCACAAGGTCATGTCCACTTGGAATCTGTGAATGGGACATTATTTAGAAATAGTCATTGCAGATGTCATCGAGTTAAGCTGTCATACCGGAGGGAGGAGGGTGGGTGCCAATCTAACCATGGTGTCCTTCTAGGACTGAAATTTGGCCACAGAGACCCAGAGAAAGAACACCATGTGAAGACAGGGCAGAGCCTGGGGTGACAAATCTACAAGCCAAGGGACACCGGGGATGGCCATCAGCCACCGGAAGCTGGAAGAGACAAGGAAGGATTGCTCCCCCATAGCCTTGGGGAGCACGGCCCTGCCAACACCTTGATTCCAGACTTCGGGCTCCAGAACTTTGTAAGAACACATTTCTGTCTTTAAGCCACCCGGTTGGTGCTGCTTAGTGATGGTGGCTGATGCACCCCATTAACACTTCACTCCTAGAAAGATGCCTGTCGAAAGCCGCACAGTGTGGTAGGAAAAGTACACTGTGTTTTCATAACAGCAAAAAATCTGGAAATCGTCTTCACAGAGCAAGCTGCTGAGCGGTACGGCTGACCAGCCTCCGAGACAGACTGGACACGAGGCGAGGAGAGAGGACGGGCTGGGGATGTCCTCCGAGGGCACTGCCAGCTCTGAAAGCACGTGATCCTGCAGCCCAAGCCCAGAGCCCACAACTCTGGAGGCAGTCCACGCATCTTCATCCAACAAACATTTCCTGAGCCTGGCTATGTGCCAGGCACAGTCCCAGGCGCTGCGGCGAGCGTGAGAACAGCAGAAAGCGCTCTGCCATTAGGGACCCACGCTCTAGGAGAGATAGACAAGCAGCAGACGGCGGGGGGGGGGGGGGCGGTGGGCAAAGAGGATTTGGTGCCAGGGAGGGAGGCGGGGAGAAAGGGAGGGAAGGAAGAGACCGAGCCCCCGGCAGGTGGAGGGGACAGCAGGTACGGATATAGGGTGTGTTTGAGGAGGCAGATGTCCCCGGAGCAGAACCAGCTGGGGGTGTGGGAATGGCGTGCTCGTGCCTTTTCATCACACATACTCTCGGGGCCACTGCTGGGTGCCAGACGCCACCGAGGTGCACTGAAATACAGGCAGGGCAGGGCCACCCCCAGAGCCACGGGGCTGCCCCACGCCTGTCTACCTGTGCTCTGAGCCCAGGCCCAGGTCAGGCTCCCAGGCCACACACGGTCAGCTCCACCCGGAAATTCAGAAAACTGAAGGCAAGAGCCCAGGGATCGCTGGCACCTGTCCACGGCACCCGGCACGTTCAAGCCCCCGTGTGCACTATGCCACACAAGGAGTGAGGCCCACCCCGTCCTGCGAGGGGTCCCTGCTGCAGGAGCCCCAGTGTCCCAACAACCTGGCCAGTCCCAGGATGCGGCTAGGGCGCCCCAAACCCTGCTCTGAGCTCAGGCCAGTGCCCACATCGGGACACGCTCCCTGCCCGGGCCATGGGCAGCCCCCAGCAGACCCAGGGCTCGGACGGGCGCAAGCAGCCGCACTGTTACCTGGTGGTTTGGGTGGCTGACACGGAGCGCCCTCCACTGTCTTCACGCTCGGAAGCACGGACGGCAGTGGGTGCTCATTCAGCATGTTTGGATCCGAGTGTTTGCTGGACTCGGCTAGGGTCAGACCAGTTTTCGGGGCCTTACTGTCTATGTGTTGAAAATTACAAGTGGGGAACTCTATCTTCCCGCCAGACTCGGCGTTGGCGGACTGCACTTTACAGCCTATCTCAGCCGACCTCCTGAGGGGCACAGGCAAGGTGCAAGGAAGTACCTTTGCATCTTTCAGTTTCGAGTCTTGCTGGAGAGCCGAGTGTGGAGGTCCTAGAGGCTGGCTGGGCATGGCCGAGGGGCACCTCCCTTTTAGGGGCTGAGTGTCCGAGGGGGAAGATGAAAAATTCACGTGGGGAATGGGCGGCATCTGCTTCTTGGCTCTCCTCACGCTAACGCCTTCCACGCAAAGGTCGGACCCGTGGAAGGGTGGCAGGTCCACAGAGGGCTAGGCAGAGGAGGGCGGCGTTAGTGCCCAGGGGCTGGTGCTCCCCTTCCTGTGTCTGCCGGCCGGCCTGCTGGCGGTCGGGCCTCAAGAGAACCCGGGCCACACTTCCCGTGGCTGCTGGGCTGCCCACCAGGTCCCTCCTCCAGAGAAGCCCGGGCACAGGATCCCGCCATGGAACCAGAGTCCCTGGCAATGTGACCACCCAGTCCTGCCGCCTGGCCTGCAGGAAGGCTCCCAGGGGGGAGCAGGCACCAGGCGGGACCCCTGAAGGAGGACACAGTTTTCCCCAGGTGGGAGGAGGGTGGACACTGCAGGTCTGGAAAGGAGCAGCCTAGGTTCTAAGCCTGGAGGCCATGGGCCTCGTACCATTCCAAGCAGGGGGCCTCCTCGCCTAGTGACCACAGAGCTGGGGATGGCTAGGGAGGAGAGGGAATAAAGCAGAGTGGTGAAGGCCAGCCGGGGCCAGGGAGTCCCCGGGGCTACCCGAGGTACTGTCTGCTCCCTTCGCCTGAAGTGGCTACACCGGGGACGGTGGGCAGCAGTGCCGCGTCCCCCCACCCCCAGCGCCGCGCCCCTCACCTGTCTCCACAGCAGCTCGAAATTGCCGATGTCGCAGTTGCGGTCGATCTTGCGGTCCACGACCACCTTGATGGTGTCCTCCTGCACCTGGGCGCACAGCTGGGCCGTGACGGGCGTGGACGCGTGCATGGTGGGGCTGGAGTTGATCTCGATCAGCCAGGGCTGGAAGTCGCGCCCCAGGATGAAGTCGGCCCCGTACAGCTCGAAGCTGTTCTTGCGCGGTTCCACGTGGTCCTGGGCCACCCTCATGGTGTTGGCGATGGCCCGCTTCATGGCGGGGTAGATGACGCTGGCCCACATGGCCCCGCGGCCCCTCTTCCGCAGGTACTCCCGGAACCTGGTGCTGGTCCACATGTTGTGGTAGGGCAGCAGGGGGCTGCGGCCCTTGTCGTTCTTCAGGTGCTTCTGGATGGAGTTGTTGCATAAGTGGATGGCGCTGCGCGAGGCAAGCCGCGATCAGCCTGGGGTTCCTGGGACTCTGGACCCCCGACCGTGCCCTGGGACCGCCTCCCACCCCACCTCCCCCGCCCCAGGACCCCGGACCTCCGCCCCCCGCGACCCCGCCCCCGGACCGCCTCCCTCGGCCCCCGCCCCAGGACCCCGGACCTCCGCCCCCCGCGACCCCGCCCCCGGACCGCCTCCCTCCGCCCCCGCCCCAGGACCCCGGACCTCCGCCCCCCGCGACCCCGCCCCCGGACCGCCTCCCACCGCCCCCGCGACCCCGTCCCCCGACCGCCTCCCACCGCCCCCGCCCCAGGACGCCGGACCTCCGCCCCCCGCGACCCCGCCCCAGGACGCCGGACCTCCGCCCCCGCGACCCCGCCCCCGGACCGCCTCCCACCGCCCCCGCCCCAGGACCCCGGACCTCCGCCCCCTGCGACCCCGCCCCCGGACCGCCTCCCACCGCCCCCGCCCCAGGACCCCGGGCCTCCGCCCCCCGCGACCCCGCCCCCGGACCGTCTCCCCCCGCCCCCGCCCCAGGACCCCGGGCCTCCGCCCCCCGCGACCCCGCCCCCGGACCGCCTCCCCCCGCCCCCGCCCCAGGACCCCGGACCTCCGCCCCCCGCGACCCCGCCCCCGGACCGTCTCCCCCCGCCCCCGCCCCAGGACGCCGGGCCTCCGCCCCCCGCGACCCCGCCCCCGGACCGTCTCCCCCCGCCCCCGCCCCAGGACCCCGGACCTCCGCCCCCTGCGACCCCGCCCCCGGACCGCCTCCCACCGCCCCCGCCCCAGGACCCCGGGCCTCCGCCCCCCGCGACCCCGCCCCCGGACCGCCTCCCTCCGCCCCCGCCCCAGGACCCCGGACCTCCGCCCCCCGCGACCCCGCCCCCGGACCGTCTCCCCCCGCCCCCGCCCCAGGACGCCGGACCTCCGCCCCCCGCGACCCCGCCCCCGGACCGTCACTCCACCTTCCCCCCCCCGCCCCAGGACCCCGGACCTCCGCCCCCCGCGACCCCGCCCCCAGACCGCCTCCCACCTCCCCGCCCCCCCCGCCCCAGGACCCCGGACCTCCGCCCGCCGCGACCCCGCCCCCGGACCGTCACCCCACCTCCCCCCCCTTGCCCAGGACCCCCGACCTCCACCCCCCGCGACCCCGTCTCCACGCTGGGGCCCGCGACCCCACTCCCGGACCGCGACCCTGGATCCCGTGACCCAGTCTCCAGAACCCTTGTGGCTCCCACCTATCCCGATGTCCGTGCAGACACCTCCCCCGAGACCCCACACCCGCCGACCCTCTGCCCCCACGGAACTCCCAAGCCACCGCTAACCCCGCCCCCGACACTCTTCTCTCTCGACCCCGCCCCCCGCCGTAGGGCGGGCGGCTGCCGTGGGGGCTCTGATAGCTCCGAGTCCTCCGGAAGTAACACCTCCCAGAGCCTCAGTTTCCCCATCGGCACCTGGCAATAGGGATGTGGCTCTTGAAGAGCTGGTCTGGTGAGACAGAGTGAGAGTCTCTGTGAAACTAATTAATTAATTTACACTCTTGCCTTGTTCCAAACAGGTTTTGAAACAGGTAACTGGACTAGATGCGCCATGTGGCTCTGGGTAGTGAGACCTGTCCCTGTGACCCTGGAGAGGTCGTACTTCCAGAAGACAGAGGGCCTTGCGACCTGAGATCCACGGAATTAGGGTAGTGGACCCACAGCGGACCCATTGTGGCCAGTATATGGGAGGCTGGGCCATGCCCAATCAGAAATGATTTCAGGGAATCTCCTGTTCATCTGGGGTGAGAGTTATGGTCCCAGATGGAGAAATGGGGCTCAGAGAGGGCAAGAGATCTGCCAGGCATCCCGTCATGGCTTGGTGGGTCCGGTGGCCTGGGGGGGGGGGGCTGGAAGGGGCTCCTTGTGCACAGGGAGCTGCAGGACCCCTCTTCCAGGACCCCCTGGCCTGGCAGAGACGAACTCGCTCCAGGAGCTGCCGGCCAGAACAACTTCTCCCCAGCAGCCTGCTCCTGACAAGTGTGACTCCAAGCGTCACCTGCCAGGTGCGACTCTTGGTGTGGCCACGACCCCTAGCCTGGGGACACAGTTAACATGCCCGAGGTGTCAGCCGAACAGCTCCCAGCCCTCTCAATTCTGAGCCGAGATGGAGAGTCGGATGCTTAACCAACTGAGCCCCCCAGGCACCCCTCCCTTTCTTTAGTAGGCCCCATGCCCACGTGCCCTTTCAATTCTGTGTGACTCCCCTGTAAAGCTCCTGGTCAAGATGCCTAGGCACCCAGCCCCACACAGCGAGGGGGTCACAAGACAGAACAGGGAAGCCCCTGGTTTGGACAGAGGCAAGGGGAATTCTCTGCCTCACTCCTGAGGCTTTGCAGAGGGGCCTCACCATCCCTGCCACACACACGTCCTGCCCACCCGGAGACCCTGGCGAGGTGTGGGTTCCCCCACCCCTGGCACCCCTTCCGGGCTGTCCGAGCCTCTGCATGTGGAACCCTCCCCAGCACCCTGCCCCCCAGGGGCCTTGGGATCTGGGGTGTGGCCCACACAGTCGTGGCCTTTTCTGGCTCAGGTGCTCCCCTCTTCTTGTCTTGCCCTGCACAGCTAGGATCCTCAGAGGACCCCTCAGGCCATTCTCACACCCCACAGGCTGGCTTGTCAGGGGCTGAACACCCCTACCTCCCCAGCCGTCTGCAGGACCCCCACCCCAGGACTTCTGGGGCTCATAAAGAGAAGGCCCTGCAGGGACTAGGGAGGGGGCTTGAGGGGCTGGCAAGGCAGATGTCCCCCCGGAGCCT